ATAGTTAACATAACTATTAACAAGTTTCTAGTTTTGATATTTCGACCCAGTTGGGTTCATAGGATCCTCCTTTCTTCCTATTACCTGAAAAAAAAAAATAGTAGGCAAGGGTGAGTGCCAAACTCAATGAGTAGGGTTAGATAACCCTCTCACCCCACACAATCACACATATGCTACTATAAATCGTTTTAGTCCTCCGACTAGTTATATGATCATGCAGTTTGTCACACAAATGGCAATACAACAGCAATCACAATTATTATCATCTTTCATGCAGTTTGTCACACAATATGGCAATACAACAGCAATCCACATATTATCATCTTCATATAATCACCATCACGGTCGGAAAATTAAGTCAGTGGTGTCATCGAAACCCTGCGATGAGGCCGTCCTCCCCACATGGCCCATTCCACTCACGTGTGCACCAGGGAGCCGATCCCCATAGCTGGCGACCGTCTAATCATCCTCACATGACCAGTCCTCTCATTGTTTTTCCATTCTCTCTTTTCTTTTCCATACCAACAGGAGGCAACCCGGTCGTCTCTATCAAATCTAGATCCATCGGCGCATACAACAGGAGGCCACCCTGCGGGCTACCATAAAATCAAGATTATCAGGTGCGCCCAATAAGAAGCCACCCTGTGGTTTCTATATAATCCATATCATCAGGTGCACACGGAGGCGCCAATCTCCCATTTACCTGGCCAAATTCCATATCATATTATAATTTCATTATATTCAGGATCCATATCACATAGACCGTCCTCACAAACCCATGGTGACCCACTTTATCCCAATTCCACACAAACAAGGCACAGCAACAGCAATATCACAACACAAGTAATCAAACAATTTTAATATTCAAACAAATAGTTTTAGCAAAATATTGCAATTCAACAAAATAATGCAAATAATGCATGATAACATCTAGCCGTGAATGCATGAATGCAGGTGGATGATGCGAATTATCTAACACTACTCACAGTTCCTTATTGTCCTTTACAGGATTATCTTTATTACTGCACGCTTCCAGCATTTGTCTTCACCTTTCGGGACTTTATAAATATCTAAAATAATAAGAAAATTCTAAATAAGAGGTCTAATTTGAGAAATGTATCTTATCTTAATTATTAGTTTTGGGTACTAGTCGCTTTACTCACATATCAAACTAAACTGGATATTTATATATATATCATGTTCCCTTATTTATTTATTTATTCTAATTTTATAACTTTTAAATAAATCTTCTAATAATATTAATAATAATAATCATTAAGAATAATAATATAATAATAATAATAAATAATAAATTAATAATAATAATAATAATATTAATAGTAATATTACTAATAATAATACTAATACCAATTAAATTTTACTTTATATTAACCTACAATCATATTTCCATAATACCATTAATTAACCGTCTATACCATAAATTATAATTCCTCCTATTTATATTTCTTAAAATTTCGAAAATTAACTTATATAATTATTAGCTAGAATTCTTATTTCAATATCAATCTTATAACTAATATTTATGAACTATATTGAACAATGTTCAATCTTATAAATGCTCATTAATTCATTAATTCCGGATTTATTCAAAAATTGCGAATTGAGTCTTAGAGTGTACCGATCGAAAATTGGACGACGAATCCACAGTCTACATGAGGAAAGAAGAATTCTGCCATTTTGGTGACTCGCCAGAGTGTCGCCGGCCGGTCGCCGGACTACTGCCGTTGCCGCCGTGCACGGTGGCCGGAAACATCGACCTTGCCCAAAAATTTATCACGATTATACCATTCGACTCGATTTTTCGTCAGGAGTCCAATTTTGGTGTCAAAAGCGCGAGATCAGTCCCCTAGTTGGCCGGATCGGACCTGGCAATCACTGCACCTCCTCCGCACACGATTGCTCCTCAAAACCTCAGTGAAATCCCAAATTTATGGAGGGGAGTTACTCACAGCGTCGTGGAGAGTCCATTGCCGCCTGTCTCCTCCACTAGGACCGCCAGAAATGGTGTGGATCGCCAAAAATGGAAGAAGAGAACTATCGAGAGGGAGATAGCTTGGAGTCGCGCCCCAGCAGCCCGTTCGGCATGAAGGATGGCTGGAATGTGACCAACGGCATGAAGGAACCTCAATTGCCACTTGCTTTTGTCGCGCGGTGGCCAGAAAACGAGGAGCGGGAGGAGCCGCGGCGCTACTTCTGGCGTGCGCAAAGAAGAAGAGAAGAATAGAGAAAAAGAGAGGAGAAGATGGATCTAGAGAGTTCTGGGCCATTTCGGTTCGATTCAAACCGGTTTGGGGCCAAATCAACGATTTAGCTCGATTTTTGTTTGGTTATCTGGTTTTTCTCTTGGTTTTCGAAAACTTTAAGCCGGTTTACGGTTCCTGTTATCAATAATTAAATATTTGCTGTATAACCCCATTTTGTGCTTTCTTATTTGATTTATTTCTCAATGATTTTCAAGCGGTTTGATTTATTTAATTGATTTTGTCAAATTTAGGATTACTAAGTGGTAAATATAATTTTTATTATTATTAATATAATTTTTATTATTATTTTAAGTGGTCCAATATCAATTCTAAGAAGGTTAAATTATTTTCAACTAGAAGTTTCGATAACTTGTTTTGGGCTTGAGCCCAAGTCACAATTTGGGCTTAGATCAAAATTGCTCGGTACTTACAGCCCATCCCATCACAAATTTGGATTTTCGATTTATTAAAAATTCAAAAGTTTTGAAAATAAAAATTCGGGGTGTTTCATATGTCCAAAGCAAGATTTTAGGGAGTCTGAAGTTGGCAAATAGCTTTAGCAGTGACAGAGAAGAAAAACCTTGAAGCATAGATAATTGATAGCTAATTTTTTAATTTTAGCATAAAATGATAAAATAGGAATAACAAAAACCAGAATTAGTTAGAGTGTCAATGTACTGTTCAATGAACAGTGGATCTAGATTTCATTTTAGTAAATATGTAATTTTTTTATGACTATTACAAAAAAAAAAAAGATAATTTTAAAAAATTTTAAATATTATTCTATTAGATATGTTAAATATCGAACTTTTATTGTATATAAGTCCACTATTCTCTGTGACAGAGGTGAGAGCTATTTAGAGGGGAGAAGAAGTATTCACAATAAGATTTTAGGCAGACTCAAGTCGGCAAATATCTTTGGTAACGATAGAGAAGAAAAATCTAGACGGAGAGATATTTGATGGTTAATTTTGTAATTTTAGCATAAAAAGTTAAAATAGTAATAACAAAAAATAGAACTGGTTCAAGTGTTAATGCAGTCTTCAATGAACAGTGAAAGATTTCATTTTAGTATATATTTAATTTTCTATGAATATTATTAGAAAAAAAGATAATTCTAAAATATTTTAAATATTATTCTATTTTATATATTAAATTATGAACTTTTATTGCATATAAGACAAAGATTCTTTGCAACAGAGATGAGAGTTGTTTTAGAAGGGAGAATAATTGTCTAGAGCAAGATTTTAGGTAGATTCAAGTCAACAAATGGTTTTGGTAAAGATACAGAAGAAAAACCTGGAAGCAGATGTAATTGATAGTGAATTGTGTAATTTTAGCATAAAAGGATAAAATAAGAGTAACAAAAAACAAAACTGGTTAAAGTGTCAATGCACTATTCAATGAACAGTGTTTCTTGATTTCTTTTTAGTTTATATATAATTTATGACTATTATTTGAAGAAAAATATAATTTTATAAAATTTTAAATATTATTCCGTTTTATATGTAAAATTTTGAACTTTGTTGTATATAAGTCAACGATTCACTACAACAGAGATAAGAGATATTTTAGAGGGGAGAATAAGTGTCTAGAGCAAGATTTTAGGGAGACTCAAGTCGGCAAATAGCTTTGATGACGGTAGATAAGAAAAATCTGGAAGCAGAGATTGTTGATGGTTAATTTTATAATTTTCATAAAAGGGTAACATGAGAATCACAAAAAACAGAACAGGTTAAAGTGGCAATGCACTGTTTAATGAAAAGTGAATCTAGATTTCAGCTTAGTATATATATAATTTTTTATGAGCATTATTAGAAAAAAATAGATAATTTTAAAAAATTCTAAATATTATTCCATTTTATATGTTTAATTTCTAACTTTTATTGTAAATAGGTCAACGATTTGCTGCGATTAAGATGAGAGTTTTTTTGGAAGGGAGAAAAAGTGTCAAAAGCAAGATTTTAGAGAGATTCAAGTAGGTAAATAGTTTTGGTAACGATATAGAAGAAAAACCTGGAATTAGAGATAATTGATGGTTAATTTTTGTAATTTTAGCATAAAAGGTAAAATAGGAATAACAAAAAACAGAACTAGTTAAAGTGTCAATGCACTATTAAATGAATTGTGAATCTCGATTTCATTTTAGTAGATATATAATTTTTTATGACTATTATTATAAAAAAAAAAAAGATAGTTTTATCCCTTTTATATGTTAAATTACGAACTTTTATTGTATATAAGTTATTGATTCATTGTGATAGAGATCAGATCTATTTTAGGGAGACTCAACTCGGCAAATAGCTTTGTAATGATAGAGAAGAAAATTCTAAAAGCAGAAATAATTGATGGTTAATTTTGTAATTTTAGCATAAGAGGGTAAAATGGAAATAACAAAAAATAGAACTGGTTAAAGTGTCAGTGCATTGTTCAATGAACAGTGAATCTTGATTTCATTTTAGCATACATATATAATTTTTTAAGACTGTTATTAGAAAAAGGAAAATAATTATTTCGTCCCTGATGTTTACCACAATTATCTAAGTAGTCCAGTATTTTGTCAAATATTTGAACTATCCCTGAGATTTGCCTTTCGTTTACTGCTTAGTCCTTCCGTTAAAAAAACCTACATTTTCTGTTAATTTTAAAGTAAAAAGACAAGATTAACCTTTGTATACTTCTTTTCCATATCAATCTCTCTTCTCTCTAAAATACTTGCTGCCATCAAACTTCCATATCAATCTCTCTTCTCTCTAAAATACTTGCTGCCATCAAACTTCGTCTCCATCACCAAACCAACTCTTTTCCCGTGTTCCGGTCACCATTCAACCACCTCTAGCATCGGATAACTTAATGAGGGTCTGCGAGCATCATGTCGACGTCCTTTCCTCCATTAGCGCCAAGTTCTAACGAAGATAACCCAACTCTCTCTCGATTGCGGCACCTACCCATTACCTACTCCCGATTTTCGATCACCTCTCATCGATCTCAAGCCGACGAAGCCTCCTTTGACCTCTAACTGCCAACGAGATGCTTTCCTCTTCCTTTCTGATGCTAAGAAAGTTGCGAATCGCAACCTTTGTCGCTTCACTGCTATCGTAGTGATAGTCATTAAATTTCAGCGAAGTCAAGCTTTTCCGATGAAGGCTATCGATTTGGTAGGTCTCAAAACATCACTTTCTTCTTCTAGACTTCACCACTTTCTTCTTCTAAGCCTCAGTACCATGGCATCACATGCTTGACAAAATGCCCTACTGAGAATTTATTGAAATCTTGAATTCCCATTGTTCAGCGAGTGCTAGGTCTTTTGGTCTTTAGCTATGAAGCCAATTTTTTTTGTGAAAATTATATTCTTTATGTGTTGACTTTATAGCTATAGTTGTTCAACCTTTAGCTGATTGAGAGATTGAGCTATTTTAATTTGTAATTGAATTTTTTAGATAAATTACATGATATGGCTTAGACCCATTTACTGAAAATTATTCTACTTCACTAAAATTGCCAATGATTCTTGAAGAATTCAATTCTGTCCTCTTAGAGCCATAAACCCTAGTCCATATTTCATCAATATCAATTGGTAAGTAAAATAGATCAGTTTCTATTTGTCCATTTTCCTGTTTATTCTTCATAATTTTGCTGCTTAGTTGATATCTTCTTCATTTTCCCTTAATATGGATTTTTTAAATGATTTGGCAATCTAGATATCTAGTAGCAGAATGCAATTTGCTAGTTGCGGTTTTGCTTCCTAATAAACCTGATGATTAATTTTTTGGGAAACTGAGTTTGCATTTTGGTTTGATTTTCAGCTATGGGTTTGAGGTGAATGAGCCAATTCCTTCATGATTAGGTAATGAAGGGTTTACGTGAGAGGGTTGCCTCAAAATGTCTTATAAAAGTGCAATTGATACGCCAAATGCCAAATATATCTCTAACATCCGATTGTTCAGACCAACCAGGTTCCAGTGGTGATAGTAAGTTTTCAAAAGGGTTTTATTGTCAAGCTTTTTCACATGGATATTTTTGTGTTTGCCATTTTGTGAGTGCTCGAAATAGAGAAAAGTGAGACTAGGAGAAACTGCTAATTAGAGAATTTAGAGTAGTTTGGTCTTTTTATAAAAAATTAATGGCAAAAAGTGTGTTTTTTTAACGAAAGGACTAAGTAGTATGACGGAATCAAACCTAAGAGACGTTATAAATATTTGTATAAAAGTAAGGGACTACTTAGATAATTATACAAGCCCAGGGACAAAATAATTATTTTTCCTTAAAAAAAAAATTTTAAAAATTTTAAATGTTAAATTTCAGACTTTTATGGTATATAAGTCCACGATTCGCTACAACAGGGATGAGGGATGATTTAGAAGAGAGTAGAAGTATCCAAAGCATCATAGTCGGCATATAGCTTTGGTGATAATAGGGAAGGAAAACCCAGAAGTAGAGATATTAATTTTGTAATTTTAGCATAAAAAAGTGAAATAAGCATAAAAAAAAACAGAACTGGTTAAAGTGTCAATTCACTGTTCAATGAAAAATGAATCTAGTTTTTATTTTATTATATATTATATATATATATATATATATATATATAATATATTATATATTATTTTCATGAACTTTATTAGAAAAAAAAATAATAATTTTGAAAATTTTGAAATATTTTCCATTTTATATGGACTATTATTAGAAAAAATAATAATTTTGAAAATTTTGAAATATTATTCCATTTTATATGTCAAATTTTGAGCTTTTATTATATATAAGTCAACAATTTGCTGCAAAAGATAAGAGAGTTGTTTTGGAAGGGAGAAGAAATGTCCAGAGCAAGATTTTAAGGAGACTTAAGTCAGCAAATAGTTTCGGCAAAGATATAGAAGAAAAACCTAAAAGCAGAGATAGTTGATGATTAATTTTGTAATTTTAGCATATCATGGTAAAATAGAAATAACAAAAAATAGAACTACTTAAAATGTCAGTGCACTGTTCATTTAACAGTGAATCTGGATTTCACTTAAGTATATATATAATTTTTTATGACTATTATTAGAGAAAAAAAAAAAGAGACTTTTAAAAGATTTTAAATATTATTCTGTTTTATATATTAAATTTTGAACTTCTTTTGTATATAAGTCAATGATTTGCTGACACAAAGATGAGAGCTATTTTAGATGTGAGAATAAACGTCGAGAGCAAGATTTTAGGGAGACTCAAGTCAGCAAATAACTTTGTTAATGGTGGAGAGGAAAAACCTGCAGAGATAATTGATAGTTAATTTTGTGATATTAACAGAAAAGGGTAACACAGGAATAATAAAAAAAAAAACATAATTTGGTAAAGTCTCGAAGCACTGTTCAATGAACAGTGAATATGGTTTTTATTCTATTATATATATATAATCTTTTGACTTTTATTAGGAAAAAAAAGATAATTTTAAAATTTTGAAATATTATTCTGTTTTATATGTTAAATTCCACGTTTTTATTGTATAAACGATTCGCTGTGATAAAGATAAGAGCTATTTTAGAGAAGGGAGAAGAAGTGTCTAGAGCAAAATGTTAGAGAGAATCAAGTCGGCGAATAGCGTTGGCAACGATAGAAAAGAAAATCTTAGAAACAGAGATAATTTACGGTTAATTTTATAATTTTAGCATAGAAGGTTAAAATAGGAATAACAAAAATCAGAACCGGTTAAAGTGTCAATGCACTGTTTAATGAACAATGAATCTTGTTTTTATTTTAGTATATATAAAATTTCTTATGACTACTAATAGAAAAAAAGATAATTTTAAAAATTTTAAATATTATTTTATTTTATATATTAAATTTCCAACTTTTATTGTATATAAGTCATCGATTCGGTTCGACAGATACGACAGCTGTTTTCGAAGGAAGGAAGAAGAAGTGTTCAGAGCATGATTTTTGGGAGAAGGGAGCATCCAGAGCATGAATTGTGGGAGACTGAAGTTGACAAATAGGTTTTGTAACGATAGATAAAAAAAACTGGAAGCAGAGATAATTGTTTGTTAATTTTATAATTTTAGCATTAAAGGATAAAATAAAAAACTATCTAATGAACAGTGAATCATCTCTCATTTTGGTGTATATATATAATATGAGAAAATATATCAAGCCTTTATATTTTTAATTTGTTTATTATTAATTAATTAATAATTACAATTTTCTGAAGTATTTCTATTATATATTTTAAAATAGAATATAATGTTTTATTTATTTATATTATCGCTTAAATGTGGATAATTCTGGAAAAACAAAAGATTAAAATAAAAATAATATTTAAAAGCATCTACTGGCCCATATATCTGGGTAAACAAGTCAATCTTGTCATTCAAAGATTCAAATACACAATTTTATTAGTTTGTGCAAAATATATTTTTTCTTTTAAGAAGATAATATAGTGTGCAATCAATTTTTAGATTTCTTGAGTTATCGACCCCATGATACATGTGTTCATAAGTGCATTATTATTAATTTCAGATTGATTCTCTATTAGAATTTATTTAAACTTCCCAAAACAATTAATTGAAATCAATTAGACTCGTATGATAAAAACTGATCAAGTAATTATCTATGATTAATCGATTGCACATGCAGAAAAAGAAAAGGAAATAAAAGAAAAAAAAAAAAAAACCCCTTTGATGTTAAGGTAAAAGCATTGAGGACATCCCCCCCATCCAAAAGCCATTTTCAAATGCAGAAGTAAATAAAATCCAGCCAAGCGTAGCTCTAAAAGTTAAAATAGAGTTGATGCCCAAAATCCTGTTTATTGCTAACTGCCACCATTTGTCTCAAGATGCCTCTTCACGCTCTATCACAGTGGTCTCAATCTTGAACCTCTTCAGTTTTCTTCCCTCGAGAATTCAGATACCATCCCAGAGCACCAAAACTAGTAACTATACCAGCAACCACTGCATAATTCTTGTATTTATCAGTTGATATCTTCTCAGTTGATTCTCCTGTTGTTGAAGAAGACGAAGCACTTGGTTTGACATCAGTTGGTGACCCCCCTGGACCTGAGGTAGCTGTCTCTTCTGGTTTGGGGCCCTGAAAGAAGGCAACACATAAGCAAAATAAATTTAACCAGAGAATGTCTGCAACATTTTGGCAGTTCGGCAAAAATTGAAAGGGGTATGGTACTGCCTCTAACAAACACTCCCCCACAAAATTCCACCACAAAGAGGAATATATTGCTAGGTATTAAGTTCGTTCAATGCCTAACCAGACATGAAAGAGTAGAATTGAAGATGTTGAAAAAAGAACACAGAAGAGAGAATTGAAGAGAGGGAAACAGAGGACCAAGAGGAATTCAAATGAATAATATTCTGTTATTTCTCAAATAGATTCCAGCTTACTTTTTAACCTGTTCACTTGTTACACAGAATCTGCCAACTCAGCTAGTCTCATGTTATTCCACTTAACAGTTCTGTTATTAATCATATCTCTACTAACAGATATATCTGAATTTCACTTACTTTTCAAACGTATTGCATGTCAAACAAGTAACACATTGGCAAGCATTGAAGGTACTTCTAAACTGTTTGTTAAGGAAATGGGATTTGACTTCACACCTCCTTATCTTTCCTTTCTAATGTTAGGCCATAGTATACGTTTAAGGAATTTCCTAAAAAATATTACATGATACAAGGTAAATAGAGCTTAACTGCTGCCTAAAAAGGCATACGATAGTCTGATGCTCAAAAGCTAGTTATCTTCCAAAATTTGCACATAGCAAGGTAGGAATTAAGACTGGATAGAAAAAGGAATAAAAGCCAATTAAACCCTTGAACTTGTTTAGTGGAATCAAAATAGTCAAATTTGACTTTTTAGGCCAATTGAGTTCCTAAACTTGCTTAAAATGATCAAAAAAGTCAGTTTTAACTTTTTAGGCCAATTTTGCCCCTGAAATTGTTTAAAAATTTTTACAAATTAATAAATTAATTCAATTTAACAAGATTGACTTTTCTCCCTTGTTTTGTACTAAACACAACATATCAAATTTCTCTAATATTTCTGAATAGAATTTTAAAATCCATAAAAGTATCATTTCTTCTAACATAGAAAATTTATAAAACATGTAGTATGAGTTTAATATGTTCAACATGAGAAATATATAGATTTCATATGCAATAACCCAATAATAAAGATCAATTTTAAATTGTTCAAATTAATATATATCTATAAACTCAAAATCATCAGTCAAAGTAAAGAATGATGCAATATACTTTTGTACATTGTTTTCCTCTATTATATATTTAATTAATTTTTTAATAAATTATACAGCCTAATCCCAAATATAGTCTTAAATGCCTGCAAAGATAATGATGTGGCTAAATTGACCCAAAATGTTATATCCAAACTTTTTAATCATTTTAAACAAGTTTAGAGGTTAAATTGGCCGGAAAGGTCAAACCTAAACTTTCTTTTTTTGTCCCACTAAACAAGTTTAGAAACTAGCTTGACTTTTATTCCGATAGAAATATGCTATTATCAAACCTTGCGTGCAAGCTTCTCCAATTTCTCTTGCTCAGTTTTCTGCAAAGTCAAAAGAATTAGCATAAGTTAAAAAACTAATGATATAATGAAGTAGAAGCAAATGCTGCCTCATAATGCTGAGTATTTACTTGCTAATTTTCATGTCCTTTGCGAACTGGAACTCAACAATCTAGTCAGGCTAGCAACCTAATACAAGGAGTTGAACATGGCAATTATTCATGATTGCATTACATTAACCAAATAAGCGTTTTCTCACCATGTGAATCTTGACAAGAAAACATAATATTGGCAGGTAAAATGATTCCTTAAAATTACATGACATTCATATCAATTACAACTCTTTCAGGGTCCATAAGTTATTTCCTTGTATAATCAAAAGGGATATTGTCCAATTAAGAAAATGATATTTCTCCTGTGGTTTCCACGTGTCAACATCCATCCAAGATGTGGATAATAATTACCCTAGTTGGAGTAGCATGGCAGAGGAATTAATAATCCAACAAACACACAAGATAGGGAGAGATTTATTGGATTAGAATATTCCCATTGCATAGCTATACGTATTCATTTTCTGGGGAAAATAAAGGGTTCAAGGAACTTATTTCCAAAAGAATCCTATCCAGTTATAAAACCTTCCTGACCATCATATACAGGTTCATGTTTCTGAAAAGTGTCTAATCATTCCAACAACAACTAAGCGTTAATCCCAAATTAGTTGGGGTTACTATTGTTTGAAAATTGACCATCCTTTTTACATTGTACAAGCAGACATCCACTTATCAACTACAAATAGAAGGATCAATAATGATTAACTATATTCCAATGTTTTGGTCTTTCTTTTTCCCATCAACCAATTGACAAACTTGATCTCAGAGAAAGCAAAATATGATAGAAGACAAAAAAAACTGGTCAAAAACTCAATATATCTATTTACAACGGCAGAAACCTCGCTTCATAAACTACAACATATTTCTGAGAAATAGATAAATTGCTTTTAAGAGACTACAATCTGAGCCCAAGAAGAACAGAAAACGTTAAAGCTCTTACCAAGAAACAAAAAAAAAAATCAAAGCATTCACAATAAAAGAAGCCCACTGTTCAACATAGGATTCTGGAAAGGAAAAGATGGAGAAAGTCCTACTCCCAACATTTTTTTTATTAAGTGGCTACTCTAATGACCTGAAATTGCATTGCAGCTGCAAGCCAAGGACTTTGAACATCACATCCAACAAGTGGCGATACCTCACAAAATAATTTGCACATATAAAAATATCCCCTTTCTAAGTTCAGTAAATTGATTCTTTACCCAACATACATGGAACAAGAATAAGAATCATGCATATAGTAACCCAAAGTCCCACAATAATTTAGACAATATTGTCAACAAATAAACATATGGTAGCAACTCCATATTCACATTATAAACATCATACCTAATTAATTCTCGTTCAAACAGAAAACAGTGAATGATGCACACGTAAATAAAGCAATTTCAACTCCTTGGTGGGTGGGTGTGTGGATGTAGGCCTTAACTAAGCTAAATGGAGGACAATGATCCATAAAGCCTGCTGCAACTATTAGACTTAGCTGAGTATAAGAAGTTACATTTCACCAACTCACATAAAGTATATCTCTTTCAAATAAAAATTTTGATGACAGAATCTACTAGATAAATAGCTATGAATACTTTTAAATGTCTCTGCATATTTTCAAGCTTACACCCTATTTGGTGATAAGCAATAACGAAGATCGACCTTTTTCCTGGAATATAAAATCTATCAGGTCATTTGGGGAATATTCAAAACAATGTCTATTCATAAGTTTGTTGTTGAACCAAGAGGTTCTAAATTATTGTCTTTGGATGATAATGAATAATTGGTTGTCTTACTATTACGTTTCAAGTATTTGTGTAAGTTTTATAAATCCCTCAAAATATTGAAATCAATTTCTCTCTAGTACTTAAAGTTTATGGATGTTGCTACAATTATTTAGAGCTTGAAGAAGAAAAAGATTGAAGAAAAACACCATCCAAGATCAAGGATTATTAAATTATTGTATTGTAATTTTATTTTGCTGTGAATCTTCATAGCTTCAATTTCCTTAAAAATTGCATTTGGCTCTTTGACTCAGTTATGAACCTTAGGAACTGTTAATCATTCATATAAAATCTTAATTAGGCTCTCATGGCTTCATTCAATTAATGTTATGAGAGGAAAATAATCAAGTTTTTCAGGTTAGGAAGCACCCCAGGAAACATTCTAGGAAGCTGTCCGGTAAGCTCCCTAGGGAGCAGTCAAAACAGCAGGTTCGGCTGCTGAAGCTTGGTGTTCTGCTTCTCACAAGTTCAGCTGCCGAACCTTAATCTGGGAAACAGAAATAAGAGCTCGTTTTGGTTGTTGAACAGCAAAAAATGCATCAATGCACCCAATGGTTATTTAATCATGTAGAGGTATAAATATCAACCTTGGGCATCATTTATGGAGTTAATTAAAACAACCAACTTGAGGATTTAATTGAGTTATTAAAGTGCCTACCAATTTTCTATCTATAGAAAGCCTTAAGCCAATCTTTGCAGTTCTTCTTGAAATTGAAGAATTTCTTTGAGTTGTTTTTGCTACTAAAGAGTTAACGATTTTGTAATAGGCTTTGTGTGAAGTCGTTTCATTATTTGTAATTGGGTTTAATAAGATTACTAGGGGTTGCTATCAAAAAAGGAAAATTGTAAAGTGTTTGACCTATGCCTTAAAAAACATCGAGTTAGGGTAGAAAACTCTCCAGGAGCCCATGGGGAGAGGACATTGGCTTGGTTAGAAGTCGAACTTCTGAAATTCTAGTGTTTTTTTTTTTTTTTTTCTTTCCTCACTCATTTTTGTTTTATTTGCTTGACTAAATGAAAATAAGAATAGGTTAACAAAATTTTTAAAAGAACCCAATTCAACCCCCATCTTGGGTTGCCCACAAAGAACATGAATTGTTAAACCCACATCTCATAAGAATCCATCTAGAATTGATAAAAGGCTGAACATTGTAACTATGAATGTTCTATATGAAAGAAAAGATAAAAAAAAAATAGAATAATAAGGACATGTTTCATAGTTTGGGAACCCAAAAATGTAAGTACAACCAGCTATAAGGTTATACAGTATAAGCAGTAATCCAATCCCAGGCTCACATGTCAAAAAAGCCATGCCTATGGCACTTGCCTTTATATCATAAACAATATACCACACATCCAAAAAAAAAAAGGGAAGGGGCCAGGGGGACACATAACTGAATACATTAAGGATAATGCAGGCATTACCTTGATGTAAACATTTTCAGCAGCTTTTTCCTCCTCACTAAGTATTTTACCACCACTTGAGAACCTTCGAGATACATATCTAGCAGCCATCCTTGTTGCCATGGTAAATTACTACAAGACCAAACAAAATATTGGATGATATAAACTGTAGCAATTACAATAACTAAGCTGCAGACACAAAAAAAATTTAAATTATAAATTAAAGCACCACATTACACTTGTACAATTCTACTGAAATCTTGATTCTAATTCCAGAACTTAGAGACACATATTCTACAGGTCAGATATCCGCTAAATTTACATCCCAGGCTCACATCAATTCTTAAATCCCTACCAGTTACAATTAAGGCACCAGCTGCCTAAAAGCATCAGATAACTTCATTCTCTACACTAGGAAAGTATAGATATTCATCAAAATAATTTTAACTTCCATAACCCAATGGCAGAAAAATCAAATTAGGATCAAACCACTTTAATAGATTGCCTGCAAATTGGGATTAGTTCCGATTGGGCCGTAGAGATTATTGTAGTTCCAACAAGTCATACGGAAAAAGAATCAACTCCATACCCAGAAATTAGCGTATTAGATAAAAAAATAAAATTAAAATAAGGAAAATTAAAGCGTTAACAGAATATGAACAACCAGAAATGGCAATGCCAAAAATCTTAGATCAGAAGTTTCCATCGAGATCGCTTACCTAGAGAACGCAGTTATGCGAGAGACTAAGGGACTAGAGAAGAGGTTGGAGATAATAAAGAAAGTGAAAGCACCGCTTATTTATAGGGGTTGAAAATGGGCCCCTTTCGGCGTTAGGGTCCGATTATTAGAGGTAAAAGAATAGTAGCCGTTCGATCGAAGAGAGGAAGTGATCTATAGAACCGGATCCATGATAACAAATGGATTAGGCATTTTTATTTCTAAGTTCTATGTTTTTTATTTTCTATTTTGTAAGAAAACAGCTCGTTCACTAGTTTCTTTTTTTTATTATGTGAGTTGCATATTGATTATGCTCTTTATATATTTTTACTTTGTATTCGTTTATTTTTTTTATTTATATAACTAGATGGAATTGTGCGCTTTGCGTAGATTACTTTGATAGTTTATGATTTCTAAATCTATATCTTATACTATATATAAATGTAGGAATAAGAGAAGAATAATGAAATTTCTGATATTGTCTTTAATAAAATTTGAAATATCCTTAAATAGCTTTAGTTGTAGCCAATTAGAAAATTATATTTTTATACCAACAAGTGTTAGGATAAGTGGTTTGACACTCTTTTTCCTTTAGTGAGATCGAGGATTCGATCATTACTGGGAGCACTTTATCCTTTATTGGGCCAACTCGGAGTGGATTCGGGATACATGTGGTTAAGAAAAAAAGAAAAATTACATTTTATTATTTGATTGGATATAATTTCTAAAAATTATTTTTAAAATAAATACATATAAATAATAGAAAAGGAAAAGTTATACTCTTCTTTTTCTAAATGGTTGTAAGGAAAATTGAGTGTTTATTCAGCGATGGTAGAACGTTTCTTTTATGTAATCTTTTTTATTAATTAATTAATTAATTAATTTTTAAATTTGTAACTTAGAAAAATAGAGAAATAAAATTAGATCCTAGCATTATGTGCTTTGTAATTTTCATTTGTTCACTTGACTATAAACTTTTTTTTTTTTTTGGTCCTTCAAAATTACAGCATTTCTAGTGAAAGAAGAGCTTGATTTTTGAAATTTAAATTGATAATTTTTTTTGATATAATTTGTTTCTTGTTATACGTTGAGAGAGTTCTATTCTTAATAATAATTTTTTTTTATTTTTTTTCTTTTTCGGAATTAATTTGTAACTAATGTCATTTAAATTTAGTAAGAGATATATATTTCCATTGCAATAAATAGATGACCTCTTGAGATTAAACATTTTTAATTTTCTTAATATTTTTCTATTATATTCTAAATCTATTTGATTTGAAAGAAAATAATGCTTATAAAATTGAAAAAAAATAAAAACTATATATTTCTGTTTGGGGTCATTTTTTGGGTTTCAAGAATTTGAGTGTATGTGCATATATTCATTTCTCTAATGCACTCGGTAAGTAATATTGTCACTATAGCCAAAGTAATTACCATTATCATTTTAGATCATCTGCTCATTTCTTTTTTTTACCTAACAGTTTCATTCTAGTTGTATATAGATATTGATTTGGGGTTGATGGCAGGAAGTTGGAGATCGAGTGATGATTTGATTTTCTTTTTAAGCACTTATTAAGGTGAATCTGCATTTATAAATTAGGGACTGAAAGATTAGGTCTAGGGATTAGGTTGAATTTTATTTTGAGATCACTTCATTATAAAGTAGCTTGTACAACAAAATCCAATACAAATTAAGCAATTATATTTATTTTAATCTAAATAAAAACTCATGCTTTAATATTATATAGATATAAAAAAAATTAAAGAGTACAAATATATAACTGTTAGCTAGAACAGTTTTACCATATGATAATATTAGAATTAGTTTGTTTTAGATGATAATTATCATTGTAACAGATTTATCTTTATCATTTTGTTAGAGTTAGAGATAAAGTCAAAGTAGTAAGGGAGTTAATAAATACCTTTGTACCTGTAGGTATGAAATGAAGTGATGAGAATATTTTCCTCTACAATTTCTCTCTAAGTTTTCTAGATGGTATCAGAGCATTCATGGAAGATTTAGAGAAGGATGAAATCAAACAAACACCACATGATCCTACCCTACTAATTGTAAACATGAATCCAAACCACGTATCCTTGCCACAATCAATAATTGTGCAGCAAGACAAAACCAGCTTCACCTCCACTATAATCTTGGATGAGACCAATTATGCATTATGGCGACAATTGATGGAAATGCAAATTGGTGCCCGAAACAAGCTTGGATACTTAACTGGAGCAACAGTAAAGCCACCAGAGATCTATCTGAATTATCCAGCTTGGTACGAAGTTGGTTAATTGATTCAATGAATCCTTCGAATATGCAACGTTTTCTTCAACTATCAACGCAAAGGAAATATGGGACATTGCAGCCAAGACATTCTATGAAGGCATAGATGAAACATAATTATTTGAGTTGAATAAGAGATCCTTCACAACGGTGCAAAATGGACGACCGCTGCTGACATACTATTATGAATACTCAAATTTTGAGGCTCAAAAAGCCAGTTTTCCCGGACTGCAAACAGTCCGGCCGGACTAGAGGCCATTTTGGAAATTTATCGGAAGTAGGAAACATATTAATTTGGTTGAATAGAGATACCTTCACAACGGTGCAAAATGAAACGACCGCTGCTGGACATACTATTATGAATACTCCAAATTTATGAAGGCTCAAAAAGCCAGTTTTCCCGGACTGCAAAACAGTCGCCGAGAACTAGAGGCCATTTATGGAAATTTATACGAAGTATTGCCAATAGTGGTTACTTAAAACGTCTGGACGTCGCGGCTGTTCCCGGAATAATTTTTGAGGTCCCGGAAACTCCCGGAGAAACCCGGAACAGAGAACTAGAAGAGTCCGCGCGGCAGCCGCCCTCACCCGGCAGTGGCCGCTGCTACGGCGGCGCGGCGCCCTCCTCGCGGGAGCTGCGTCGGCACGGCTCGGCGGCCGCCCTCCCCCGGCGCAGCAGGCCGCCGGCCTCAGCGGATCCAGCGCCGGCCTCGCGCAGCAGCCGCGCTTCAGGCGGCATGTGCGCCCTCAGCCCGTGTTTTTGCCTATAAAACTTGGCCCCGTATGTCTTCATTTCAAACCCACTCAGTCTGTTGACGGACGCTCCTTCTCCCTTACGCTCCTTGCGGTTCTTTACTGCTTTTCTGCATTTAGCATAGGCTTTATTATTTATTTTGTGATACTTGGTCACTTAAAAATTAAAATTAAATTAATCAATATTCCCCAAAACGAGGAGCTTTAACTTGAAGATGTTTCAAGCTGAAGCTAAGAAGCGGCCGTCGATTAAATCAATACATTAAACGAAACTCTGCGCTATTTATATTTTAGCACTTCATGGCATGCTCCTCTTTTCTACTCTTAATTCTACAACGGCATAAATGCATTCACGCCGGCCATCATCATTAGGCAAATAAACTGCCTCAATTAAATAATTTAGGCTAGATGCCCGGTTAATTAATATTGTGGTATTAAACCTTAAATCGAACAATTATTGGCTAAGCCTAGTTAATCAATATGACTATTGTGATCGCCTTTATTCGAACATTTGGCTTAAGATCCAATTTAATCAATAATGTGGCTAAAAAGGCCTTAATTAAACACGTTTTCTTTGGCAAACAAATTGCCTACATTGCAATTCAATTGATCTCGTTTGGCAAACAAATGCCTTAATAAATGAGATTAATCTTTTTAAGCGACAAATCGCTTAAATCGAGCTTGCACAAAAAAGCCTCTAATTAATCAACCTTTTTGGCTAAAAGCCTGTAAAACCAACCCAAATTGGCGACAACGCCCAAATCGAAACACTTTTTTTTTGGCAAAATAATTGCCTAAAATCAACTCTTTCGGCTAAAAAGTTTTAAGATAATCAATTTTGGCGACAATGCCTAAATCATAATCAATTTTTTGGCAACAATGCCTAAATCAAATCCTTTTGGCTTAAAAGCCTAAATCAACATTTGTCGGCAACAATTGCCTAAATCAAATCAATCAATTTTTTTGCAAAATGCCCTTAAACAAAATGCACTAAGCATACACACCACTCAGCATAAGCATACCCATTCAAAGCCAACTTTTTAAAAAAGGTCTATCGAACTACCGTTGACTTGATCTTCCATTCAAACGAAGTACGTAAGGCACGTTTGGGATTTAACCCGGACGGCAAGTTGAAATTCACTTAAACATCCATTGTCCAATTACCTTGCCCAAAGCATTCATTTATTTTGGTTAGTTCATTCAACATGACATAGTCTCGGGATCCACCTCGGGTTTTCGAAATTGTGCCTTAGGACGTTGGGATAATTAATCTCAGTAATTAGGTATAATTAACAAAATGAGTTCAACTTAAGGTTTTTTCTAGTACCCTAAAAATAACTTAAACAAGGGTGGCAACTCATACATCACGGCATTTCTGCCCTTATTCATATGCATTTCATATGCTTGATATTCAGGGGGAGGGGTTCATAGTTTGTCGACGCTGCTGGGGAGGGATTATGACAATCTTTTTGGCATTAAGCGGACTTACGAATCGTTGTGTAAACTAACTACCCTCTTTAGGATATTATTAACTATCTTTGTTTGCAGGTACCCCAAAAAAAAAAAAAATTTTAAGTATTCTTCTTAAAAGAATGTTAACAAGGAGAATTTTGGACCTAATTGAAACTTTACTTTAAATCAGGTTTTAATTGTTTATTTATTTGGCACGAATATGAGAATCTTTTCTCCATTGCATAAAAAATGAATTTCCAATATGAATTCTTCTCTCTGCTGTTTCAAATTCTGAGTCTAGCATAACAAAGTAGCGCTGATCCGCAAGTCTCCTTGATTATGTCGACGGACGAGCCCCAAAAGCGTCCTCCCTTTACTGCAAGCCGTCCCTAATCCTTTTGGGATTGGCCCATGGAGTAATGCGTACCGTTGGACCACGCCGAAAAACTCCTTGTTTCACATTGGTTATAGTATAATCCATGCTCAAGTTCAAGGTCCCTTAATAAGCCAATCCTCTATTGTGTCATAGCCTATTAGAAAAACCCTATCCTTTAGGGCTGTATGTACCGCAATATGCTGAATCATTCCGGTTAAGAATGACAATTATGTTGTGATGTTGTGCGCATTCACGCATTCATCCCATACTTCCACAAAAAAAA